GTGAGCCAATCTTTCTACTATTTTAGCGAGAGATTACACCAACTTCGGGCACCTCTTTAGCTACCGCAGCTACCCTGTAACCGACGCCATCAACTTCCGGAGGAAGTATGCACTCCTCTTCTACCCGTTCAGGCGCGAGGTAGACATTCTGGACGGCAATAAAGATCCATTGGTGGATCAATGCCATGACCCTTGGGAAACACCACAGACGTCAGTCACCCTTTGGGAAGCGCTAACCCTGACCCTGTAACAAAAACAAAAAGAGGCAAAAAATAGAGGAAGCAAAAGAGCAATTGAGTCAAAAGTGAAAGCCAGAACAGGAAAGTGAAAGGGTCAGCGTTAGCGGTCTACAAAGGGGGACGAGTTTGGCTCTTCCCAAGGGTTATGCTAATGCATTCCCTAAGGATCCACCAATGGATCTTTTAATCTTTTTTTGGAGGGGGGGGGGGGGGGGGCTTATTAATTTTTTTTTCTTGTGGGCTGGAAATGATGAGATCATCTGCGTTAAACGTACTTTATCATTCGTGAGGTGTTATTAATTATTGTATTTCAATGCTTTACTCGTGACGACGTTTCTTAGCACACATTTATTTTGACGTTGTTTCTAGGCCTATGTAAAGGAAACGGAGGCCTGCTTGATGGCGCAGTGCCAGTCCCAGCCACTGCTTGAACGGCACGGGCTGCCACATCAATGACGTAATTCGATGCTGGGGATATAAAGGCTCTCTAACTGAATAAAACCTTCACAAAACATTTACTACAATGACACGTGATGGACACAAGTGGGTTCCGCCCGCGATATTAGCTCCGACGGTAAAGGCACGGACGTGCTTGAAAAAAATTTGTTGTTGTTGTTTCTGGGTCTCCTATTGCAAGTGTTTCTAAGCGCTGTCATAAACAATACGGGATAGCGCTCAGGGTTTTGAGAGTTAGCTCATTGCCCGAGGTCATCCGAATAGAACAGTTTCTGAAGACATACAAGAAAGTGTGTATCCTAGGCTTACTCGCAGTACAAGGTTTTGCGAGCGAAGCGTGAGATACGTATTTGGTCGCAATGTGAATTTAAAATAAAATGCGAATAAAGCAACAGTATGGATATCCCAGGTCAAACCAGCAAGGGGGACATTGACGCTTTTCATTTATACGCTTCGATCACGAGGTCATGCACGTCCAGCCGATTATTGAAACTCCTCGAACTTTTTCTTTTTAGAGTTTACGATAAAAGACAGATCGTTGACCAAGCCACGCTTCCCAAAGCGCCCTCCGCTCTCTACCACGGGCAGAGGCTGTCAGACAGCAGAGAGGATGCTACTCATACGATTTATAAATAAACTGTCGATCTAACGCCACGTGTCACCTGAACCTGTCATCGGTGCATGGCACAACGCGGAGGGCGGATTGGTTGAGGCATATAACAAAACTTTTACTGTAAGAAGCGAAAGTATGCAGGCGAGCTGGTTAGGAAACATCATAATTTAAATCCAGGTACACGTAGATGAAATCGTCCGTTTTTAAGGCGAAAGCCTTATAATTTAGGGTTGTGCGAATAGTGGTTCGAATCGAATAGCGCTGCGTCAGTTATAGCCTTGACAGTGAATGGAAAAGCCAAGACGGCCAGTTCTTTCAACAGTGCAGAAGCTAGGGATGACGGTGCGCTATTCGATTCGAACCACTATTCGCACAACCTTACCTTATATGCCTCATTGTCCAGTCGACCTTCAAAGTCCTTGAGCGAAAACACGTCGGCGACACGAAAGGTACCAAAACATTTAGGTGACCACTCGGTGGAAAATTACGCGAATTAAGATGACTCAGCACATTTTGAATAGAATTGGTTTTCTTTAGACACTAGGTCAAGGGTAACAGGACAACAGGCAGATTATCTCTGCCTGACGTGGTCCTATCACCCGTTTGCAATGAGAGGGATGACTCAGCACATTGAGAAGGATGACCCAGCATATTAGGAAGGATGACTCAGCACATTAAGAGGGATGACTCAGCGAGTAAATCATGTGTCTGTCTTTAATGAGTCGGCGCATGGGCTTTCGCTTTCAAGTCGTCTTTTCGTCTCTCCTGGTCTCAGGGTTTGGATGATGAACTTTTACTGTGCCGTCTGTCGTTGGTGGGGCGAATCGTTTCTTGGTGCGATGGTACGTAAAACACTGCATACAGTCATGGACAGCTTAAGAAATCGAGGGCGTTCTAAGCATCTCATTATCGCTCCACAGACAATCACATTGCGGCATTCGCTAATAAGAACACCGAAGAGCAAATCACGAGGCATGAGCATGATTTCTTAAAGGGACACTGCAAGGAAAACAAGTTTTTTTTTTCTCTTTTAAATGATACAGGTGGGATACGTATATAAAAGAAAAGTTTACCACGAAAAAGCAATTTTTTTTTAAATCAATATTTGCGCTTTTAGACGCAATTTAGGTGCAGAAGGCGGAGGTCACAGCCCGCTAAGTCTCACCCCGTGCTTACAAGGTGCTTACATCTCTCATTGCCTGGAGAGATGATTGACGTGTGAAAAGTTGGTTGTAAATTTTTATGTCCGTGCCGTAGTAGTGTTTTAATCGACTATATTTTTTATGTTTGAGAAGAAAATAACCAAGATAGAGTCATAATTGTTTTCAGATGTATTCTGAGATTGCTTCTCCTGCTCTGGTTTGAAACGTTAACAAACATGGCCACCGGCGTCTGCGGAGTGCTGAACGAGAAAAGCTCGTTCAGCTTGTCGTTTTTTTTTATCAGTACCACTGATTTTGAATTCACAGACGTGTTTAGGGGAAGACCTCCTCAGCCGACGTAGTTCGCAGCAAACTTCCGCGAGTATGCGCCTTCGGTTGCTGTGCGGATGCTTGCTCTCGTAGCAGGACAGGCCTAAGCCTAGCGTCCCGGATCAACTAGTTCGATCGAATTGACTTGATTTTGTTCTTTGCGCGTGTTGATGTATAATAAAGATGTTGGTGACCGTAAAAGCAGCCCCGCTGCTCTATGAATTGTGCAACCGTCGTGATTGCGACTATGGTTTCATTACTGGGAAGGTATCTTCACAGGTAAGAATGTTCACGCTATTGGTAGGAGGCAATCAGGCGTTCGGCTCGCATAAAATTTGTGTAGGTATGTTCTCGTCATTTCGCCTCGAAAGGCAAGTAGCTCTCAAATTTTGCAGTGCATCTGACCTACCATAACAAATATTTTTACGTCGCCTTTTAATTGTGCGTCATGACGGTCACCCAACATGCCCGCGAATGCCATGTGAAAAAAAACAAAAAAAAAACACAAACAACAGCAAGAACAGTAAAGTGGAAAGGACTGCATATTAATAGTGTTGTTATTTTTTAGTCCTCTAGGTCGCCTTTTACCGCGCATCGACATACGCTGACAGACGCTTGTATTGGACCGTGGCTCGCGCATGATGGAACGCTGGAACGCCGCTTTCATGGTCGCGTCGTCTGAGCGTTGCAGATGTTTTTTAGCGTGAGCTACACTGGCCAAGGTTGAGCAGTTTCGCGTGGCTCGCATAATGAGCCGTGCTCCGTGCTGCTCAAGCGCGAGGAGCAGTGACGTCATACGGCGCACAGCTGGCGTGCCGGAGCCGCCGCCGCCGCGGGGTCCGCCGCCACCACGCGCGCCTCGCCGGTCTTCGCATTCCAGAGGAGTGACGTCATAGCCGCGCCAGACGCACTGGCGCCACTGCGTGCCCAGCTGTGTGCCTTCGTTGCACGGTAGCCAAGTCTGACGCTGCACCGGAGCTGCTTGATAGCGCGTCTCATTTTGTGCGCATAAGCTCACGCTACGTAAATCCTGGCATAGCCGAGCTAAGCCACCGCAACTTTTTTTAGACGGGGCTGGAATAGCAGACGGACGGAGGCGAAAACGGACACCGACGCGCAGCTTTCGTGTCCGCGTCTCACGGGAATTGCAGACGGCGATATACGAGTAATGCGGATTCTTGGGCGAGTTGGTACTGAAACTTGGAGAACATAATAGCGCTTCACGACAGGGACGCACGTTGCGCATTGTGTTGTCTCGTTCCTACCCTTCGTCCCTGTCGTGAAGCGCTATTATGTTCTCCAAGGCGATATACGGCGGTGAAATAGGAGACCATGCCGTAGGGTGCCGCGCGTCTGCTCGCACGACTGGCAGGCGGTGTTAGACTTCCATACAAGAAGCAAAGGTTGTCGCGAAAGGGGACACCACGCTTTTTGGCGTGTTCGGTCGAGCAGCCAAGCCAGTCCAGTAGTAGTTAGTGGGTGGGGCCGTTAATTGTGGGCGGGGCTTAGAGCGAGCCGTGACATCCATCTAAATTTCGTCTAGCGGCGTAAATATTGTTTTTTGTGAAATTTATTTTAAAAATACGTGTCCCATTTATGCCCCTAAAAGATAATTCCTTCCCAAGACCCTTTAAGCTGTCAGCCAACGCTGCCATGACAGCAAACAGGGAAGAGCTGTCCTCTCAATGACCTGAGAGGTGCATGTTATTGGATTGCTCGCATCCACTCCAGAACGGGTGCCAGACACTGCTTCCGTATTTCTCTTTGTGATTGGAGTTGCGCAATCGGGACCATTGGTTCTCTCACTTTCTTCGCGTTTTGGTGAACTCGATTCCCCCTTCTCCACTTTTTTCCTCGTTGGGACCACCTGCACTGAGTGTAATTACGCAGATAATGTTGTCAGAACAAATTGCCTGGAGTGATCAACATGATTGACGCCTTAATGGTGACGATGAAGGTTGTTTATGTAGGTGCTTCTAGGAACGAAATACACGCCGATTTCTGTCGCCGAATGGCCAATAGACAGCCATGGACTATAGCCTCTAGGGTCGTATTAATTGTGCGAGGAAACATTTGATTGATGGGTGGTTTCCTGTGGGACCGGAATACGTTTACCTGCCTTGCCGTCTTAGGAATATCTTCAAGAAATACTGGAACAGACAGGCAGACTCTGCAGCGTGCGCCAGTCTTTGGAATTGTGCTCCGTCGTTTCCATTGCAGCGCCTCCATCTCCCAGGAACCTGACGGCCCATCAGCTGTCTCCAACGAACCTATCCCTGACGTGGAGCCCTCCGTACCCGCCACACGGTGTACTGGAGCGTTACCAAATCAAGTTCCGGACGAACGGTATTCGCAGCAACTCTACCCTTCTCAACGTCGACCAGTACCAGTGCTTCCCCGAGAACAGCGACTTGGAAAGACACTGTTTCACTGTGTCCAACTTGCTACCTGTTACTATCTACCGTTTCTCGGTGAGCGGAGTGTCTGTCGAGTTCTGCATTTCGCTTCTGAATTGCTATTCTTGCTCGCGGGAGTTATTGCCCTTGCAGTAGATAACGCAGCTGAAATAACAAACAGAATAACAAATAACTTGCTGGCCCCAACAAGACAGCTTCGTTGGGACAATCCCAAAGATAATGTCGTGTTGAGTTGATGTGATTTCATTATATTAGCCACCTCATCCATTCAAACAGAAGTTGCCAGGACCTTGATTGGAAGAAATCGTACAATTAATAAAGCCACATATTTACCTACCTGCAGGCCACGACGATAATAAGTCGCTATTATTCATACAGGTGACGACTATAGTATTAACAAATTTATACTATACACTCTAAAAAAGCCCGTTCCTCTACTTTTCCGCACAACGCTCGGAGAGCCAATCACCGCACTGAAGTCGATTCTGAGATCGCCTTTTTGTGGTGACAACTTAATCTAGACGCTCTAAGCATCTCAACAAACCCGAAATGACGATAGTGTGTAGCTTATTTCCTCGTTAAAAACGTGTGGAAAATCGCGACACGCCCTTTTTGGGAAGAACCTTTTTCTTCCGAGGGAAGTGGTCGATGGAGGGCGCTTGTCGGCGAGTTGCAAGCGATGGCTTCGTCCGCGGAGAAAAAGAGGAGTCTTATCCGAGTGTGTATCTATCAGACTAGACAAGTTTTAATAAAATCATCCGGAATCGCGCGTATTGTGGGGCTTTCATTGGTCTACACAATCTAGTCCGCGAGAAAAAATAGTCCACATGTGTTTTTATTGCCCTGAGATGAATTAACAGTTGTGTAATATAGGACTTGGTTATATATGGGAACTAATACCCGTGCCAGACGGGCAGCTCAAATGCCATTTACAACGAATGATATTTGTGTGATCGGCGAATCAGCTCGCGATCTGTCGCGCGTGGAATGCGCCACGCCCGGAGTGTCGCGCGCTGATTGGCCGTCCGCTCAAATGTCATTCGTGGTAAATGGCATTCGAGTTGTCCGTGAGGCACGGGTATAACAGATTTTGAACAACATGAGATCGAAAACGACCCTTTTCAAAAATGACTTCAGTGCCCCTTTAAGGAGGCAGCTCAGCGAATGACGATGCCGAAACATATATATTGAGACCAAAAAACGCAGACTCAGTTGCGACATTAAGGAATGCAAAAACGTCACGCTTACATTGCTTAATGTCGCAACTCAGAGTGCGTTTTTCGTTTAAGCATAAGTTTAGTCATCGTCATTCGCTAAGCTGCCTCTGTCAGTTGCGGTTATTGGCTCTCCGAGTGTTGTGCAGGAAAGTAGACGCAGGGACGTTTTCTTAGAGTGGGTGAAGTTTGAAAAATGCGGCAGAACCGCATCTTTTTTACCTCAACTTTTTTCTGATGTTCCTCATTCACGACTCGTCTGTCTGATAAGTATACGGTTAAAACTTTCGAACTTGATCATTTTGGTCGGGGGATACGTGAACAGTTGTTAAAGAGTGTTGGTTAGTTAATATTAGTGAAGAACAAGAACAAGATTAACATAGCTTGAACATACTGGGCTTCGAACGGCAATGCTGAGAACCCTTTCGTTATATAAAATGTATTTTTAAAGAACTGTCGTAATTTATTAGATTAACAATCCAGTCGCCCAGTTAGAAACGACACCCCTATTTAGAAAAAAGAATTTAGGTGAAAAAAAAAAGAAGAAAAAATCAGTTCTTGATGCTGTTTTCCTCGTGCTGAGATATATATCTCTGGCTTTCATTTCACCCGCTGCTTCCCTTTAAGCTATCTTGAATTTATGTTCATCCAGGTGAGGGCGTTCAATCGCGGCACAACACACGGTCCTTACTCGGACGAGCTGGAGATAGAGACAGGAGAGACGGGTGAGACTCGCTGCTCTCGTTGACCTGTTGAAAAATATCTCACTCTTATGTAAAGACTATTATTTAGATAAGCCCTTCACGCCTTCGTCGGTAAAACTTGCTTCTTCATTGGCTAATGATGGTAATCACTGGTGACCATCTTGTTCAGAGCGGAGACTTCCTCATCGTCTGCAAAGAACTGTAGTCTCGATGCCGGGGTAAAGCTTTGTGGAAGCTCCTGTTAAGCCGCGGTCAGCAACAATGGACACGTATATGGCAGCCAGATGCCGCAAAATACCAATGATGATAATCTATAATTAGCTGACGCATTTGGTCTGGAAACGTCCCACACTCTCGGGTTTAATGCAGTCAATATTAGCTAGTTTTCGGGCAAGCGTATATTAAAGCACCAAGAAAGCGCTTCATACACTCTAAAAAAAAAGTCTGTGCGTCTACTTTCACGCACACCACTCGGAGAGCCAATCGCCGCAATTTACAGAGGCAGCTGAGCGAATGACGATGCCGAAACATATGTTTAGACTAAGAAACGCAGTCTGAGTTGTGACATTAAGCAATGCAAGCGTAACGTTTTGCATTGCTTAATGTCACAACTCAGACTGCGTTTTTTGGTCTAAACATATGTTTCCGCATCGTCATTCGCTGAGCTGCCTCTGTAAGTTGCGGTGATTGGCTCTCCGAGTGGTGTGCGTGAAAGTAGACGCACAGATATTTTTTAGAGTGTAAACTATTACACATCTATCGCTATGATTTCGTATATAGTAGGATGGTCCATATTTGAGCTGCTTATATCATGGTACCATTAGCGCGACAGATGCCAATTTGTATCTAGTGGCAAAACAAGTTTTTTGGCGACCCCATCACTTTTTCGCAGTACCACTTGCACAAGGACACGCCGTTTAGTGGCTAGCTGGGGACGTTGTGTCTGCGAGCGGCGCATGTTGCTTGTTGCTCTTGTAGGAACTGGAATAAAATATATTTTGTCAGGATTTCTGACAACGATTTTTGACAGTTTGAATAGGGCTTAGTCAGTATAAACCCAAGAAACATAGTGATCTGTAATGCTCCTCGTTGGTTTAATTAGCTATAATAGCATCAAAACCTACGTTTTCAATGCCTTCATTATGGGTGTAATTAGGGCGGTGTACGATGTTCAACCATAACGTCCAGTTAAACTGCCATGCGGAGAGTTCTGGACCGAACCACCTGTGCCCTTTATTAACATCCCCTCTCACGCAACGCGCGCAGTTCCAGATGCACCCGCCAGCGTCCGCTGCGTGAGGAGAGAGGAAAACAGCCTCAAGATTCAGTGGGACGAGCCTCAGCGAACGAATGGAATCTTAAAGCACTACCGGGTATGTTCTTTGTTCATAATGAGCTGTATCGTGCTTGTTTGCGTGTCTATCTACTGACGCACCTTAGTTAATTAGTTAACTAGAAAGACGGGCAAAGTCCTCAGTAGTCACACCCTAGTACTGCACCTTGCATAGCTACACCAGCATAATTAACTGATTACGTAGCACTGTTACATCTCAGCGTCAGGCAAACACATTTTATTGGCCATGTGACATGTATACTTACGGCAGTTTGCACTACATAGATATCTTGGAAAGCGCAGAAAATTTATGTTTGTATTAAATTATTGGTCACGTTCTTCCACATAAACGACGAAAACCAGGGTCGGAAACAGAAAGAAATTCAGTTCTCTTCATTCCAGTTTTCTTGCGGCTATTCAGGTCTTTGTCACACCTTCCTCGCACAAGGAGGTCAATGTACGGTCGTCCTTGATACATAAAAAATCGACATGTCTCTAGATAAATATACATTCTGCAGCAATTTTCAAACGCCTTACCTCATTAAATACAAGCAAGCTCGTTCGCCCAGCTTAGCTTAGCTGTAGACGTTGCACCTTTGGTACCCGTTCTCGAAACAAAGATGCATCTGCGTAATCGTCGTCCCACAATCAGCGCCTTAGCGCCTGACTTGGCATCGGAGACATGACACATCAGGAGCATCTGAGAAACGAGTTCGCGTTTTCAGAAATGCGGATCTGATCCCAGGCAGGTATGATGTATTCATAGTTTAGGCATAGAAAATATACTTTTTATGGGGCGGTGCAACGATTTTCAGACTTTGGCCAATTAACTACGGAATTTAATCTGCGTCACCTATAAAACGAAAAAAAAAAAAAACGAATTTTCTTCCGAGCGCTAGTTCTTATTTAAAAAAAAAATGAAACAAATCGAAGGTCGAAGTGCCTCTCAATCTCAAGTTTCAACTCTCCACGCCGACTTTCGAGTGACGTACGCTGGAGGTTCACGTGGTTCCCCCTTGGGCCCTCTCTTCAGAGACCCCAGCCGCTTCCTCCGCGAATATCGACTTTCAAAGGATTAGCCTCGTCGAAGGTCGCGGAGAGCGATGGATACAAAGGACGGTTCGCTACGGGGCTGACGGCGAGTGTAGCAGCGGAGGGGGAGAGGTTTTGTTGACTTCCGCGTACCCCCAGAGACTCCGTCATTTTAGTTCCCGTAGCCGCCACAGGCGACTGCAGATCGGCAAATAATTCGTTCTTTGCTTTTCGATTACGCAGCAGAATAGCACTTTTTCGGGGAAAGGTGACGCGTTTTTGGTCACTTGGGCTTGTATAAACAATATAAAAAAATGCAAACTGGCAATTCTTTCAACATTAAAACCGTTGCACTGGCCCTTTAAACACGTTGGTCTGTTCGAGGTGTGTTGAATAACCTATTTCATTTTTCTATTCTCGGTTCAGGTGAACGTATCTCTCACACATTCGTTCAGCAGTTCGGTGAATGCGAGCACCCGTCCCAGGGCGGTGGTTCTCGAAGATCTCACCACGAGAGAGTACAACCTGAGTGATCTATACCCGGGAACCACCTACAAGGTGTGCGTGCAGGCCAGCACAAGCGCCGGCTTCGGTGACGCCGTATGCGACCTTTTCTCCACTAGAGCTGCAGGTAAAACTTGCGACTCAGAAAGGCTAATGTCTGTATTCTCCCTCACCCTACCCTGTTTACGGTTGCTTGACAAGTTTTCGTTTATCGCTTCAACTTCTGCGAATGCTTTTGAATTAGAATTGTTGGAAAAATTAAATGGTTTGCAAGCGGAATGCTGCAAAATGTCATCTCCTTTGCTTTACTGCTCGGCGCTTGATCTTCTGCCAATTATATGCGGCAAACTTCTGCTCAAGTTGGGAGTTCGTAACGGGGAGAAATACTAACGTCACAAAAGACATATAAATTGCGAGAGTCTAACACAGTTTGCTTGAGCATTTATTATTTATTTCAATACGGATAAATGTGTATTGAACCAGTTTTCTTATCTTGGTAACAAACACATGTTCTTGAAGGGGACCATCGTAATCTATAAGCGTTTCAAGACACTATAACTTCATCAATAGGTATATCTCGGTGATTTTTGAAGCGCCATATACTAATTGCTTGTTTTCTGTTTTTATAATACAAAACATAAATGACAATAAGCGACTTATATGTGAGATATAGTTTGTTTGTCTGGATTAATCTCTGGAAGCTGCCATAATTGGTCAGCAATGAACGTTCACCAAACTCTCCGCAGATCCTGTGGTACCCACGAAACCAAGGCTGAACGGCATCGTGAACAGCACCATCAACATAACTTTGAATCCGGTCGACTTCGCGAAGGGCCCCATAACGTAAGCTTACCGATCTTTCCTTGGGATGCGCTCGTTCTTCGTGTGCAGCATGCGCTGGAAGGTAACTTTGGTAGCCTTGCAATTTCACGTGATTTTCCGCTCATGCAGGGATGTAGTAATCTGCGGCGGCCAGATGTGTTCTTCGCTGAAGCCTGTTCGTTTGTAGATAGCATTAGATTACCTTGTTGTGTCTGTTAGCACGAGCTAACAGAGAACACAAGGAAAGCCAGATGCATTCGCTTCGCTTGAGGATACTTCGTTTTTTTTCGACGGTGGTAATAAGCACGAGGCCCATGGCGATATTTCTGCTCTGGACAATCAAACAACAAGATTTATTTATTTATTTATTTATTTCAACAACTTCAACGCCATACGGCGTTACCGAAGGGAGTGGGGAAAAACAGAAGTACAAAAAATAGGATTCAACATATATTAGTTAGCATAATAGTTTTTCAATGGCAGACTTGAATGCGGGAGCGTCTGTGATTGTGGCGATGGAGGTAGGCAGGTGGTTCCAGTGATTTGTAGTCCTTGGAATGAAAGTATCATGAAAGAAGTTTGTGCGACTGAAAGGAACGTTGACTTTATGGTGATGATCATTTCGATAGGATACATACGATGGTTTAGAAAAAAAGGGTCTTCACTTTTATGCTGGTTGTGATGATAAATTTTGTGAAATAAGGACAAACGAGATAATGTTTTACGCAATGAAAGATTCGGGAGATGTAAAGTTAGTTTCATGGATGATACATTGGAAAAACGCGAGAAATTAGACAAAATAAAACTTGGGCCACAATTCTGTACGGATTCAATTTGATTAACAAGAAATTCATGGCCTGCGTCCCACACCCAGCTTGCATACTCAAGCTTGGATCTAACTAGGGTCTTGTACAGTAGTAGTTTTAATGATGGAGGAGCCCTTGAGAAGTTCCGACGTAAGTAACCCATACTTCGTCTCACCCTACGATGGACTAAAGGCAAAAGCTACGAACCATCAGATTCAATCACGAGCCACTTAGAAATCGCCTGGTCCTTCGCTTCGATGAACGTTACTGAGTGATTCATCAATTTTACATTGCAAAGAAAGTCACGACGTACAGGTTCTTTGGAGTGCCGAAGCCATAGAAATGATGCTGCGCATTTTGATCGGAAACGTTATTCGTTCATCCTTAATCAATGTTAAGCATGTCATAGCTTAGTGTGGAACGTGATTGGACCTGGCGGCCCGTAGCTTTGGTCTTTAGTCTATCGTAGGTTGAGACGAAGTATAGCATGCGAATAGCGTCGTTAGCAATAAAATTAATGTGAGTTTACCAGGCGAGGTCAGTTGTTATATGGACACCACTGATCTCTATGTCTATTTTCTGGATCGCGTTTAACCAGCTCCGCCTATGGACGGGAATGCGGGCACGGTGGGCCATCTTTTTGGTAGAGTTATATTATCTCTAGCCATCATAGTAATATGGCGGACAACGCAATGGCAGCATGCTGCCATAAAATAGCCGTGGATCTAGTACACTGTACCGTGGGTGATATTTCGTGCTTGATTGAAGTTGCTCAACGAAGCAGATTCTTGAAACCCGGCATGAACGGTAGCCTCATCTTTGAGGACCCGGCGAAAGTTCTACGAAAGCGCAGCACCGGGGGAAAGCAGCACAGCTCGCGTCGAAAGCAGACTCCGTACCGGCGTCTGCTTTCGATGCGTTTTTCGATGCGACTTTCGACGCGTGCTGTGCTGCTTTTCTCCAATGCTGCAATTTCGTGAAACTTTCACCGGGTCCTCAAAAATCGGGCTACCGTTCACGCCGGGTTTCAAAAACATGTTTCGTCAAACAATTTCAATCAAGCATGAAATATCATCCACCCTATTTTTACGGCGGCCTGCCACCACACCTGCCAAAACGCTGTCTGCCATGGATGGATGATAGTGGCTGCAGGAGCTGTACCTTGGCTAGAGGTAATATAACTCTACCAAAAAGATGGCCGCCAGTGGCTGCATTCGCGGAGCGGGCAAACGCGATCCAGCAATTGTCATAGAGATCAGTGATGGACACCTAGGTACTTGTACAATATCACCTGTTCAAGAACAGAACCAATGCTATATTGAGGAGGGTCGGTACAGGTAGCTTTCCGTGAAATTCTCATTACTTTACATTTATTAGAATTAAGGCGCATTTTTCAGACGTCACACCAGTTAGTAATTGAATTAAGGTCAGTCTGAGGAAAAGACATATCAGTGTCAGAATGGATTACACGATAAATGACACAATCATCTGCAAACAACGTCATAGATGACTGGACATTGCTAACGAGGTTATTTATGTATATGAGGAAAAGAAGGGGGCCGAGGGCCCCCTTTTTTTCCTCCTCTACATAAATATACACAACCTAGTGACTATACACAACCTAGTGACTCACCCAAACTAACTGGGCAGGGAAGAGAGTCTGAATCGTTTGCAGTTACAAACTGTGTTCTGTTAGTAAGGAAATTTTCGATCCATGCAATAATGTTAAAGTCAATCTTTAGTTTTTTTTTTTTTTTTTTTAATTTTAAGCAGAGCAGTTGGTGAGGGACTAAATCAAATGCTTTCGAAAAATAAAAAAATATGCAGTTAATTGAAAAATTATTGTCCAGAACAGAAAAAGAAAAATCGTTCGTGAAACAAACCAGTTGCGTCTCACATGAGAAGAATTTACGAAAACCATGTTGACGATATGTGAAAAATGAGTTGGATTCAAGAAAGTTAACGTTAGAACAGATGATATGCCCCAACATTTTACATGGGACACGAGTTAAAGATATAGGCCTGTAGTTAAGAGGAGAGTAAGCGCCGCCTGATTTGAATAAAGGAACCTCCTTACCCACCTTCCAATCGCTGGGCAACAAACAAAGATCTAGGGACTGCGAGAAAAGTTTAGAAAGTATTACAGAAGAGTGCATTTCATTGTTTTTCAGAAATTTCGAATTAATCCCCTCAGTTCCAGATGAAGAAGAAACGTTCAAATTTTTATTATACTAAGCACACCAATGCAATCCATTATAACAGGATCCATAAGTGGAAAGGCTGCAAGATTATATTCAGGGCAAGGAACAAAAGACAGTGGCATAAAAGACTGAGAAAACAGATCATTTACTAAAGATGAACATTCCGACCTTGGAACTGAAATTCCATAATGGTCGACTAGCGATATCACACTCTCCTTTTGTCCACGAATTATATTCCAAAATTTCTTAGTGTCATTTGTCAGTAACGATGGTAGGGTATCATTAAAAAATGTTTTTGGCTTTTTCCACTTTATTCTTAAAGAGGCTTGCAACATTCCGATACTCACACCAGAAGTCAGGTTTATTGAACTATTTTGCTTGCGGAACAGTCGTTTCTTTTTATTTCGCAGATGCTTTAAAGAAACAGTAAACCAAGGGGACCGGTTTTTGTACGGGATAATTCGTAGGGGGTACGTATTTGTTTAAACCAATTGAATTCTATAGTGTGATTACAAAAATTCTGCATATATTCGTCCCGAAATTGTGCCGATTCATCATTGATGGCAGGGTAGTTAGATTTGTTGTAATCCCGTATACGTTTAGGCATACTCTTAAGGCGATGAGAATTACCTTCAAGTGTGAAATGAACAAAGCAGTAATCACTCAGGCCTAATAAAAAAAAAAAAAAAAAAAAAAAACTTTAAGACGGAACGAGGTTAGGAGTAGTTGTGAGGATGATATCTAATATGTCCGAAGTAGACGAGGTGCCCCTGGTAGGTTGACTCATTAACTGAGAGAAGTTAAAATCCGTGCACAAATTTATAAACTCGGATGTTTCATCGAAGAGGTCAGACGAAACAGGGCACATACCAGACCATAATATTTTTGGAAACTTAAAATCAACAAAAAAAAAAAAATGGCGAGTGCGGAAGTCTTACAGCAAGGTTATTTAAAACGTAATGAAGTTGTGCACAGAAAGTCAAGGAAGGTTAGGTCAGGTTAGGTTAGGTTAGGTTAGGTTAGGTCAGGTTAGGTTAGGTTAGGTTAGGTTAGGTTAGGTAATGAAGTTGTGCACAGAAAGTCAAGGAAGCGTTTGGAGGCCGATAGCAGTCACAAAATATATGTCACGGTGATTAATACGCACACTCGCGCATACCATTTCCAAGCATGAAGCATGAGAGACATGATAAGAGTGCAGATTTTCTGCGACGGCGATTTATACACATCCTCCCAATCTATCGACGCGATCAGACCGATAAATATTAAGTCTTCTCACACTCAAAAACTTCTTTGTTATTTTGACAGACAATCACGTTTCAGTTAGTAATATTACATCGGCGCTAAACGTGTCGATTAATGCTGACAGTTCCTCTCGTTTGTTAACGACACTGCGGATGTTTGAAAAAAAAAATTACTAACACTGATTACGGTGTTACGTGATAGTTATGATAAGGAAATTTCATTGTCTACGACAGTTCTCGAATTTTGACTTGCGTCAGCAGGTGATTCCTTGTTGGCGTATAATTCACAGCCACTGTCTGATAGGGACAATAGTTTAAAGGGACGCACCCCCTGGGGAGGGTCAACTATTGAACCCTTGGCCTAAAATCATGAAATTTACGGGGTAGGCTGGTGGTCATGCTAGAGGGAGCATAACAACATTTCAGGTCTGTCGGTTAAGTGCGAAGGAAATTAGGGCAGCTTCTATCAGCAACAGGCCTACATTGTTTAGTTAATCGATCGTTTGAAAACTATCACAATATACGAGATTTTTATTCGCTAGATATCTAGCAGAAAATGCCTAGGAGGTGCGGCCATGAAAAGTTTTTTTTTTGTAAAAACTAATTTATTTTTATCAATATTTTTTTAAAAATTGGTTAACTTTTTGGTCTTCTGTGTGTTCGACAAAATGTCAACATATTTTATAAAAGACATCCGTAAAGTGTCAAAAACATTCCATAGCCGCATTCCTTATTAAACTTCAGTCTGTAAAAGTGAAAAACGAGCCTTCCCTGTATTGCCATTATCAAACGATAGAGTGACTCAAATGGAATTTACACCAAAAAGTGGAATGGAGATAAATGTCTTCAAAGTGCTCCAACCGCTACCTTTCATTAGCTTCGGTGGACAGAAACTAATTTATAAAAAATTAACTATGCAGTGAAAACTAGTGAAAATTTCTGGGAATACCTTCTAGATGTTGGTGGATGCAAATATCTAATTTTTCAAAATCAGTGTTTTTTGCAGAATTTTGTTTTTCTGGGTAGTGTCCCCTCTTAAGCATTTTCTGTTAATGTGTAACTTATTGTAGCGAATTGAAAGCTGCTTACTACTAGCTTTCCCATTTTGAGCAGTTTCTTGGGTGAGGTTCGAGTCGAAATGCAGAAGTCCTCACCAACACTAAAACCAAACGACTTCAACTTTGCCCTAGCTGCCAAAATAGAATCCCTGTCCTTTAAATTTGAAAACTTTGCAATTAACGGACGGCACTTATTGGGAACGAACTTGCCCAACCTATGAGCGCGAAAGATCGCTTGATCAGATAGCTGCAAGTTCAAAGCAGACGAAATTACTTCAATTATATGTTTTGCTGACTCAGCCCGCGATTCTGATTGTTTGTCCGAAAAGCCGTAGAAAATTAAGTTTTCACGCCGAGATCTGTCTTCATAATCATCTAAACGACGACCTAGAGCGACTGTTTCGTTCCGAACGGCGTCAGACACCGCGCTAGCCACATGAAGGTCCGCGGAGCTCTCCGAGGCGGCTATTATTTCTTCTACGACAGTAAGCCGATCGTTGATGCTGGTCATTTGTCTCTGAAGATTCAGCTGAATTTCTTTCACTTCATTTACTTGAGACAAGACCTCAGCATGTTTTTTGTCCATCTTGCAATGTTGTGCCCTTACCATCGATACTAAATCGTTAGAGCTTTTGCAAGGGTCAACCTTAAGTGGGCCTGCATTCTGTTCAGTATTACCCCCCAAAAGCAATAGTTTCACAACATAAAGGCAATCACAAATAGTATCAAGAATAACATTTTGGCATGGCAAAGCAGCAGGTTAACATTGTTCGTGCGCTTACGAGGAAATAGAAAAGGGTTTGACGAGTCTGCATTCCTGCCGCTTGCACATGCCCACTGAAGTCCCACGAAGACGGTCCGTGTTTTGTAGGGTGTGGGAGTGTTGATGTCACTGCCGATGAAGCCAAAGTAGTCGGGAAAGAGCACCGATGAAAATCGATGTCTTCAATCGAAGAAGCCGGGCAGCATTGTTCTGGTGACGAGCCAAGCAAGTTCGGATGACTCTGCGAAGCTGACGGCGTGCCATCGGAAGGCGGCAGTGAGCAAGATGCGCAGGATGATAGCACCTGCAGGAGGAAATACAAGAGGGTTTGACGAGTCTGCATTCCTGCCGCTTGCACATGCCATCCGTTTGCAGTAATTGTCGCAAGGTAGGAGTACAGATGCTTTGCTGTTCTGAGTATTTTTTTTCACATGTGCAAGAAAACATAAAGAGATGAGTACTGCGCACGTCCAGTACTCACCTCTTTGTAGGCCATGATCATGATGTACTGTACATGTAAAGAAGGGGTTCCCGAGAAGTGTTATATGACTTATATGTGCTTCGTGTGACGAATAGGAAACTGTGAATAAAGAAAGACACCTGTCCACACTACTGAACAGCGGTTCTCGGGCTAACAATGCTGATTGTTTTATTTGTTTGTTTTTTCTTACAGAGCATATTATGTTTTTGTAGTACGAGGATCTCAGGACGTTGAAGGACCGGTCGTTCCTGTCAACTTCAGCCACGCCCAAGAGATGCAACTGGGTTACTACATGGCGGCGATGTTTAGTCCCGAGGAGGTCCGGGAACTGTCTGACTTTGTCCTGGGTGCAGGGAACGTCGTCGGCGGCTTCGAGAACCCTCCTCTCACTGACGCGACGCCTTATCGGATCGGTCTTCTCGTAGCGAGCAACTTTTCTGATGTAAGGCACCCCCCTTCCACACACGTATAAGCACTGCAGAAGCGTTATGTCCAACGTAGTTTAAAGGTATAGATCAGCTACGGTCCTCCGCTCCATCCTCTATGAAAAAAATCCAGCTCACGTAAATTGAAAAAAAAAACGATTTCTTTTTTTATTGGAAGATCGTTATAAGCTTTCTTTATTGTTAAGGGTTCTTTACATTTTATGAACATTAATTGAAGTTGTTGCTCAATATTTTCACAAAGTAATAAATTTAGGAACTCGGATGATTGGAGAAAAAAAAAGCCTTGGTTTCCTGACCTGATATGAAACGAACAAATTATAGGAAATCAAACGATTCATTCAAAATATCAGTGCTGTTTAGAAATTATAAGGAAAGACACTCTAAAAAAACCCCTTGAAATATTCACCTTGCCACTATTTAACATGGAATATTAAAAAGACCACCAAGCATTTTTTTTTTATTTTAAATAAATGCTGCTCAAGATACCGTGTAGGTTGTAGGTTATAGGTACCTACAAAACGGACATTATTATTTTCTCTCTCTATTGCTTCTGCAGCGATTGCAGAAGGGTGATTCCACGTCAATTCATGCAATGATGGTCCGGGTCATAATTTAGATATTTTTGTTAAAAATATATATGAAAGCCATGTTTTTGGGAGGAACATTCAGCTAGATATGAACGCCGTAACAATTTTTTTCGCTGAGATATAAAATAGAGAAGCTTGAGGCGGGGAAATTGAGAAGATTTCACAATGCTACTTTGCACAGTCGTCATTTCCTTATCGAACCTTTCCCGGCACCATAACTTTTTTAATACGTTTTACAAAGGTTATACAACACATACATAAAAAATTAAAAATATCAATAAAATATTTCTATGCAAACAAAAATATCAAAAATGGCATAAAAACGCGTTTTGGAGACATATTCACATTTTTTTTGCAAATAAACCATCTTTCATAATACTTCACAAAATATATCAAAATACGGTTATTTAGATATTCTTTACGGATATGTAAAAATTATATGCCCACCCTTAATTGTCTTCTTGTTATTAACGCGGAAATGCGGCTGATTTCTCAAAATGTGGCAAGATTGGGCGTCGATATTTAAAAAAAACTCCATCTTTTATTTTTTTTTAACTCCCCGTGGCACTTTACAGTGACTTGAACTAACCTGTGATGGCAAAAGGTTGAGTAACATATGACCTCCAAGCGGGAAAAGCTACGACAAACCTTCACTCGGAGCGAGCCGACGTCTTCGTCAAGGCGGCTTGGCCGCACAGCACCAAACGTTTTGAGCGTTAGTTATGGCATGTATTTTATATTATTAAAATTCTTTTTTTCATAATGGCTGAGTATTAGTGACGCGAAAATGGACTTTGAGCTGGAATACCATTAATCAGCTTACAACATGAACAAAACGGCCCCACTGTGCGAATTCGCTAACTATGCATAGATAAGCTTAAAACTCTCAGTTATGCGAGTGGCCACGTATACATCCGGCCTCTCGGCATATGATGACTTCCACAGATGAGAAGCCTGGATTCCTCTCACAGGTTTTATGGTGGTCCACTCTGCTTGCTTTACCGCACGAAACTCTCGAACCTGTTCCACAGACAGGTGGAACATGCAGACATTTGTTACTTCTTTACGTAGCCCTTCCACAAAGTCTTTAGCGGTGGCAATCGTTGAGTTGAGCGAAGATCTCAACTTGGTAAGCGTTGGTTCTTCCACCTACTTCATCACAAGCGCTTTCTCCGTGTCCAGTGGCTGAAAAGATCCATCTTGCCGAAGAGTGCGGCTTCCGAGACAATTCGTGGAATTGGAAGCGATTCTTGAAATGCGCCGCCGCTCCGTCTGATACAAAAATTATTTAAAAAAAGACTGGGAAATGAACTTTAACATACTCTTTTATGGCCTATGTGGCTAGAAGAGCGTGAGCTGTGTCATGTTTTGTGTACCATCGGTGACAACGGCAAAGCTTTGCGTGCCTTGCGTGGACGTAACCACACTTGTGGAGAGAGACACTTGAGTTTTTTTTCAATGAAAACTCTGCACTTCGGTTGGAAAGAGTACTGTCCATTTTTCCGCAAAATCGAAGTGGAACATCACTGCCTTGGGTGGTAAGGCGGTTCTTGTGTCATGTATCAGGCTTCGTTCAAGGTCAAGGATGTAAGAATGCCTCATATACTTTTCGCTCTCCTATTGCCGCAGGAAGGCAGAAGTGTCCATAACCTTTTTGACGAGTTCGCCAGCGTCCCATAACGCGAAACAGATCTCTTCGTCTTCGTCGAGATGAAGCGACTGCAGCGAGATGCTCTGCGTTTTTGGGCACTTTTCGCAACGGCGCAGAAAGCAATCGTTCTGTGGAGCGCAGAAGAGGTAGATGCGCTTGAGGTCGTCTTCAGTAAATGTCTTCTTTGGGGCATTTGTTATTGCCGTTAAAAGCAACTGAAAATTGACGCAATATATGCATGCGCACACTTCGTGCTCGGGACTTTTTTTTTTTTACCCATTTTGGTCGTGGGGAATAAAATTTGGAGCCTAGTTCGGGATGGGGATGGTCCTCCCTAAACAGCTGGTAAGCTTCATTAATAGAGCGGATCATAAACCTTTTTACGACTTTGAACATGTCGTTGATCATGGCTTTGACGACGTCCTTTTTGTTGGGGCTTTGAACAGAGCATGCGAGGTCGTCGCGTGTGTAGTACTCAATTGCAACCCTCACGTCTTCGGCATTCGCCTTTTTCCCCATGTAGGGATCAGGGGTTGCCCAAACACCACCTTTGCGCTTCAGTTTTCATGTTTGATCAATCATGTAGGCAGTCGCTTCCGACACCAGACGCAATATTTTTTTCTTTAGGATGATTGGTGGCAGAAGCACGTACAATCGCTTGCGTTCCTGGTGGGAACTACATGCCTTCAGCACTTCGCAAAACGCGTCAAACCACTCTGCGCAGTGCTCACAACTGTCTTCGAGTTCGAGAGTTTCGTGCGGTGAAGCAAGCAAAGTGGACCACCGTAAAACCTGTCAAAGGAATCCAGGCAACTCATCTGTGAAAGTCATCATATGCCGAGAGGCCAGATGTATCCATGGCCATTCGCGCAACTGAGAGTTTTAAGCTTATGTATGATGCATAGGTAGCGAATTTGCAGAGTGGGGCCGTTTTATTCCTGTGAATTGTAAGCTAATTAATGGTATTCCAGCTCAAAGTTCCTTTTCACGTCACTAATACTCACCGCTTATAAAAAAATAATTTTAATAATATAAAATACATGCCATAACTAACGCTCAAAACGTTTGGTGCTGTGCGGCAAAGCCGCTATGACGAAGACGTTGGCTCGCTCCGAGTGAAGGTTTGTCGTAGCTTTTCCCGCTTGGAGGTCATATGTTACTCAATCTTTTGCCATCACAGGTTAGTTCAAGTCACTGCAAAGTGCTAAGGGGAGTTTAAAGAAAATAAAAGATGGAGTTTTTTTAAATATCGACGCTCAATCTTGCCACATTTTGAGAAATCAGCCGCATTTCCGCGTTGATGACAAAAATATATTTAAGGGTGGGCATATTATCTTTATATATTCGTAAAGAATATTTAAATACGCGCATTTTGATATGTTTTGTGAAGTATTATGAAAGATGGTTTATTTGCAAAAAAATTGTGAATATGTCTCTAAAACGCGTTTTTGTGCCATGTTTGATATTTTTGTTTGCATTGAAATATTTCATGGATATTTTTAATTGTTTGTGTATGTGTTGTATAACTTTTGAAAAACCTATTAAAAAAGTTATGGCGCCGTGAAAGGTTCGATAAGGAAATGACGACTGTGCAAAGTAGCATTGTGAAATCTTCTCAATTTCCACGCCTCAAGCTTCTCTATTTTATATCTCAGCGAAACAAAATGTTACGGCGTTCATATCTAGCTGAATGTTCCTCCCAAGAACATGGCTTTCATTTATATTTTTAACAAAAATATCTAAATTATGACCCGGACCATCATTGCATGAACTGACGTGGAATCACCCAGAAGCAATATATCGACAATGTCACCAAGCGTTCGACGCATGCGTGATACAAACATACCTTTAGTTCACAGGAGGCAGGCCGCAGTGCACGAGACGTCTTGAGCCGTTACGTGCTTTGCACGCGCAGAGCTCCAGCAAGGTTGTCGCACGTGCAAAAAGACTAGAGTTCCCGGCATGAATCGCGGCAGCGGTGGAGTAGTCCAACTTGCCGGTGAAGAGGCTGGTGAGATCGGTCTATTGGATAAAGGCGAAGAGCATTTATTCTCTCAACGTTCAGCGAGAATAAGTGACCATGTGGTGGGGCACCACATGGTCGCTTATTCTCGTTGAAGCGGATATTGTTCGAGTTTGGCGTTTCCCGTCACCGCAGTCATTGGACACGAACCTCAACTCGGGTCTTCATTGTAATCCAGCTCAAGTCAACTGCTCAGGCAGTACCTGCGTAATTCGAACATCGTCAGTTTTGGCTGATCCCCGTAACTACGTCAGCATCAGAATCTCCGGACTACAGGGTGTATTCCCTGGCGGCCATAGCAGAGTGCGTAGCTGCACAGCGAGTGCTGACGGCGATCATCCACAGGGCTTTTGCAACGCGCATTCTGCACCATTAAATTGCCGGTCTTGGGAACCTATGAGCGTGAGCGAGATTTGAGCATGGCCAGTGAAAGTTCTCTCAAGTATGGCGTCCAGTGATTGAATATCCACTATACTTTATCAGCACGTGATTCAGTGCGCCTGGGCAGAGTGCCTAACATTGGAACGCAATATCCCTTCATGGCCCTTTAGTATTGTCACTAATAGTTCACATTTATTTGCAATTCAGTTTTCTCGGCAAGAGGCACACTCCCTGCGTCGTACAGCTAATGATACTCCGCGTAGCACTAACTGGCATGAGGGAGAAAATTTTATGAAGAAATTGGCAGGCTGGTAGCTGAAGAATGAACTGGAAACTAACAATTTACTTTAAACTATTGTAACACTTCGCGCATGCGTGAGTAATGCAGGTTAGTAGGCACCTCTAAATACTGATCAGAATCACTTTCAAACGTTAATATTCGAATAAACTTGCTTTAGTTTTTCTTTGTAAGCAATGGCAGTCGATAAATGAATTCGAGAAATATGAGCATCTCTTATTCCCTTAACTCGGAGCCAGAACGAACATCTACGTAGCCTGGACTGTATCTTATGCCGCCGAGGTTAAAGGGTTCATAAAACGATGTCGGATTGGAATGTTCATGACTTTACAAAGGCGTATTGGTCCGGATGTGGCCCATGTATACTCGCACCGACCGCCACTGATTCCGAAGCTTACTGGTCGCGTTGAAATTGCGAAGACAAAATGGTACAATATCTTTCAGTCTTGCCTACTCTCTTAGAAAAAAGGGTCATTATAGTCCTCCCTAAGAAGAGGAACGCTCTTGGCACATATGATCCTTTAGAAGGCGAGAAACCTTCGCCCTGAAAGCAAAGTAGCAAAGCTCCTCCGTCGCCTGCATCTCATTATGGCGGCCCTGAATCGAGCAAAACGTGTTCAATAAGGCTTAACGTGGACGCTGCCTCTATTGTGCGGGAGAGAGGAGGAGCAAATAAAAGCGTAACACGAGCTGTCCGCGAACTGTATTTATTTCCGAAGCCGGCTTCCCCCCAGCAGGTAAACAACCTTTCGCCTTTCGAAAGCAGTCACTCAGTCTTCTCATCGTCAACACTGCGATGTTAAACGAAGACAACTCAGTTACTTCGCCCACTACACGTTTTCACTCTAAAAAATGTCTGTGCGTATACTTTTCCTCACAACACTCGGAGAGCCAATCACCGCAACTTACGGAGGCAGCTCAGCGAATGACGATGCCGAAACATATGTTTAGACCAAAAAACGCAGTCTGTGTTGTGACATTAAGGAATGCAAAACGTCACGCTTGCATTGCTTAATGTCACAACTCAGACTGCGTTTTTTGGTCTAAACATATGTTTCGGCATCGTCATTCGCTGAGCTGCCTCCATAAGTTGCGGTGATTGGCTCTCCGAGTGTTGTGCGGGAAAGTGGACGTACAGACGTTTTTTAGAGTGTACCTTTGGTATTCCTTGAGCCACAACTCCTTCGTCAACAGTACATTGCGAAGGAGTGGTAAACCATTCGCGAAACCAAAAGTCGTTCTCAAAAAGAGCAAATTCGAATCAGCCAAGTTGCTCGGAAACCAGAAGTTATGGCGAAGCGTGAAAAAAAGTTAAATCGCTTGCCACCACATGGTAGGGTCAAGCAGAGTAATTGGAGGTAGCTACCGTATTTACTCGAGTAATAGCCGCACTGTTTATGAAAAAATCCCGAGGGTCTGCTTTTCCGCGGAGCACGTGGATTGCCAATTACCGCGATCGACAGCATGATTGAAAAAAGACAAGCGCCGAAAGACCAGGACAAGGTAAGAAGACGACAACACAAGGCGCACTCGCAATTGAAGATTTATTTATGGAAAAACATAGTATCATATACACTTTTAAAAAACACCACGTCACTTTCCACGTGCCCACTCTTTATCCAAGAATAGACACTCTTTTTCTGACAGAGTCACTGAAGGCTCGCTTATGCACTTATCTGCACCCTTCCTTATTGCATACGCCTCATGAATTTCCCTTGTAATCTTTTTGCTGTATCGCCCCAGGATTGCCACGTCATTGAAAACTGGTGTGCACTCACATCGGTTGCAATGCACAGCCAGGTGCCCCGAAGGTGACTGTTTTAAGGAAGCAGCATGCTCTCTTGCGCGATCATTCACACAACGCCCAGTTTGGCCTACGTAAGACCTACCGCAAGAAAGCGGAATGTCATACACAACACCAGTGTGACATTCTACAAACTTATTCTGGTGTTTTTTCTTACACTCGTCACTCTTCCCTTCGGGATCATTGATTTTCCTGCATAACGCAGAAAGCTTTTTAGGGGCTGAAAAAACGACAGGAACGTCGTAACGTTCCGCCACCTTTTTCAAGTTTTTCAAGTGTGCTGGGCTTACGAACCTCGCTCCAAGAAAGCTGTACTCCCTTTTAATTCTTCCCACTCCAAGTTAGTGAAAAGAGGTATTGCTTCTTCGTGCCTCGGAGCCGCTCTGAACAAATCCTGTCCTGAGGAAATGGGAAGGAGTTTCCTTCTACAGGTAGATCGGCTCGCAAGTGCGGGTTTTCCGCTGAGGTCCATTGTTGAAGCTGCAGAGGGCCTCAAAAAGAAATTTAGGGGTGCGGAAAGAAACGTTCTTGAACGCCAAAAAGTAAGAACCGCTGTAATGCCTTACATTCACGCAGTGTCTCATAACTTAAAAAAGGTGGCGGAACGTTACGACGTTCCTGTCGTTTTTTCAGCCCCTAAAAAGCTTTCTGCGTTATGCAGGAAAATCAATGATCCCGAAGGGAAGAGTGACGAGTGTAAGAAAAAACACCAGAATAAGTTTGTAGAATGTCACACTGGTGTTGTGTATGACATTCCGCTTTCTTGCGGTAGGTCTTACGTAGGCCAAACTGGGCGTTGTGTGAATGATCGCGCAAGAGAGCATGCTGCTTCCTTAAAACAGTCACCTTCGGGGCACCTGGCTGTGCATTGCAACCGATGTGAGTGCACACCAGTTTTCAATGACGTGGCAATCCTGGGGCGATACAGCAAAAAGATATAAGGGAAATTCATGAGGCGTATGCAATAAGGAAGGGTGCAGATAAGTGCATAAGCGAGCCTTCAGTGACTCTGTCAGAAAAAGAGTGTCTATTCTTGGATAAAGAGTGGGCACGTGGAAAGTGACGTGGTGTTTTTTAAAAGTGTATATAATACTATTTTTTTCCATAAATAAATCTTCAGTTGCGAGTGCGCCTTGTGTTGTCGTCTTCTTACCTTGTCCTGGTCTTTCGGCGCTTTTCTTTTTCCATTATGAACCAACTGGCCCAACTCACCATTTTGTGACAGCATGATTCCAGCGGTTTACAGGACAGAGATAACGTGTTCGCGCGAAGATACCATCTGTGAAGATTGCATTTCTATGGAGCATCATGTTCTCGATTTATTTATTCGCTATGTTATTTATGCGCAACTGGATGATTGACTGTATATGTGCTTTACGAGAAAGTAGACGTAAGGGCCTTGTTCTTAAATAGTGCGGCTATTACTCGAGTAAATACGGTAGTCTAGGTGGTGCTAGGTACCGCCCAAATCATGTGCTACAAGAAATAGTTCTTTGCTCGCCACTATTACACATCTGGCCCTTCGGGCACCTTTATTATTTTGCACAGATGTAAATATATTACGCATGCCACTAGCATCAGCTGGACATCTATACTGAGCGCGCACATACACACGCGGCACAACAAACATCAGTACAACGGCACGCTAACGCGACAACTACTTCTGAGCTCTGCGTTTGCGCGCCTTTTATACTGTTCGTTTTGAAGGTACGCATTTTATCGGTCATCACCTAAACAATAAATAATATTCCCATCATGTTGACTTTTTTTCAGTAATGTCATACCTCTGTGAGTAGTTTGAACGGCTCAGAGGATGAATCCCCTAGTAGCAAGGAAATGCTGATGCCGTAATTATTTGAAAGCCAATAAATCGGGCCGCTCCAATGCGGTTCCAAGCCACGTGTTTGCTTCCCCGCGCGGCACGTCGCAGCCAGTATTTCTATTGTACACTCTAAGAAATGCCTGCTCGTCTGCTTACCCGGAAAACACTCAAAGAGCCAATCTCTGCGATCTACGAAATCAGCTCAGTAAATGATGAGGTGGAACATCTGCTTAGAACTCAAAATGAAGTCTGCGCTGTGGCATTACGCAATGCAAGCATGACGCTTTGCATTGCGCAATGCCACAGCGCAGACTTCATTTTTAGGTCTAAACGGAAGTTCCACCTCATCATTGCATTAAATTGCAAACAATCTCCAGGACTTGAGTTGCGGCCACATTAACTAGAGCCTCCCATTCTCACGCAGTTCTCGTGTCCAATCTATAAGCCGCCCAAAACTGTCCTCAGGGAAACGGTTTCGATTACGCATTTACGTAACAAAGCTTTGCGAAGGCAAGACTAAAAAAAACATAGTCCTCTTTTATCCTTGTAATTTCACCGCCACCAAGAAGCTTCTAAATCAGTGGCGGTCCATGCGAGTATACATGGGCCAAACTAAGACAAGTGCGCCTCTGTAGGGTCATGAACATTCCACCCCAAAATTGTTCCACGACCCCTTTAAACTCAGTGGCAGTTTCGATAACTTATGCATCCCTGGTATTCTCTTTCAGGAGATTCGCTACGGATACCGATTGTCTGAACCGGTGATGGGTGAGTTGACGATCACGTGGTCTACGCGGCCTACTGCGAAGTGCTGTTTACGCGGTTCAATCCTTTACTTTGCAGTGGGAAAGACGGATGGAACTTCTGAAATAAGCATAGTTTTGGCGGGGGTGCTGGCGCTTCTTGTACTACTGGCGTTAATGGCCGCTGCCCTAATTTGCTTCTGCATCAGGTGAGTGCTAGATGGACCATATTTGCCCATACCTAGGGAAGAGTCGCTGGACCTCCTATTGTGCTTTGCAGAAGGCGTTCCGGGCCCGGTTCACCAAGAAAAAGGGGCCCCCAGGATCCCCTTTCACGGCTGTCGAAACGTTCGTATTATATAATTTGACCACCTATTTGGTTTGCTTGTTCTTCGGGTAAGCCTCTCGTAAAAATTGGGGCCGTGAGTTTGACATCAGTGCGCTGTACGTCCAACTGAAGTTTTGGGGTGTCTCATATGTGACAAGGGGTGTAATGGCTACACACTTTTTTTTTTTTTTTTTAGAGTGTGGGCTGCTCGTCACATCCTCGGGATTCGCACCCTGAGTGTCTGTCGTGATGTGTAAAAGAGAAAGTTGTGTCACATAAGATCACGCGAGTTTACTGATTGCGTATCAGTTCCCATTGTTATAAAATCAATAAAAGGCGAGCGATCCGGCCGATCGCTCGAGGACACGCTCAGACCACAACCAGAACAAACGTGTCTGTTGGTTTCGTCCTGCGGGACCTGATGTCGTCGAAGGAATCGCCGCTCTGAAATGACCGGCCGTTTCCCGGAACCCACACCGCAGCCTGGTGACTCGGACCTCACGCATCTAGCGATGTCCCGTCGAACCTGCCTTTAGGTCAACGGCACCTCATCACCCCCGCAGACTAGCTGGCCAGCGCGCGGCCTTATAATACTACATTTATGGCGACGAGGATTGTTCAGGGTTCGTGGTCTGACGGTCCTCCGCGTCTGCCGCTCTCCGCTTTCAATTCGGGCTTCGTTTTCCTACAGCCAACCGCCGTTCGGAACGTTAGGGTAGTAATCAGCTTGGGCACCCGGTAGCTATCCCGGCTTCCTACGTTGGTTTATTGTAGCGGTTTTAAGCCCTGAGCTCTTTGCTTTCATTTCGTTTTTCACCGTCTTTTCTGTTTCGCGGCTTGCCGGCAGAATTCCCCCTTTTGTCCTAAACACCGCGTAAGGGTGTGCGACTGCTAAGTGCTCTGTATACTGCATTCACTGTATGTAGCCGTTGGCTACGAGCATCTTTAGAGCCGCTCACTTATTTTCACAACTTACACTTCGAAGTCGTTAGGGCACATTAGCTGCCGCAGTTTGTATGTGAGCTTCGATTACGGTCCTCGCACCTTTTCGACTCGCTTATCGTGACTCTGCGACTCGAGCTACACAATTTTTGTGCTTGATTTGCGGTGCGGTGCTCACAGGCTTTAAGCCAAAGTTTTTTTCGGGTTTTACACGATTTTGGTTCTGTTTCGTAAAGTAGCTGTAAGAGTCCGCGCTCTTTCATTCACAGTTGAGCGTATACTCTTGCTTTAAGGTACATCCTTTTGAAACAGAGACATCATGAATACTGAACAACGGCAGATAACGGTCGTTCAGTCCGCGGCGTTGCCACCGCCACCGCCGTTTCTCGCAGTTCCGGGACCGCCACCACAGGCCTGGCCTGCATGGAAGGAGACATTCATGTCATTCCTAGGTGCGGCGGGCCTCGAAGGTGTTGACCCAAAGAGGAAGAAACAGATTCTTTTTTCGTTGCTGGGCATTGAAGGGCAACGAATAGTGTCCGCATTTGGATTCACTAACCTTCCGCACTCGGAACTTCTTGACGAGTTCGAGACCTTTTTAGCGGCCGCGGAGAGCCATTTTGTTTGTTCCGGATCTCTAGCAATCGAGCTTAAGCTCCGTCTTCGCGTTCAGCAGCCGTGAGAGAGTGTCACGGAATTCTTAGCGGCGTTACGCCATGAGCACGCGCTTTGCGCGTTTGAAGGCGGATCCGAGAACACGCGACTTTGTGATCTTTTTCTTGATGGTTTAATCTCGCGCCGTGTTCAGGATCGCATTCTTAGAGACTGCGTAGGTCGCCAGGTACCGACGCTCGAGCGCACGATACAGCTCGCGCTGCAGTTTGTGCAGCTGGCACGCACAGTAGACCAGTACCATCAGCCACGTCTTGGGGAGCCCGTCGCCATCTGTTCCACTGCACCCGTGCAGTATGTTGCTGGGCCCGGGACCGAACGAGTACAAGCGGCTGCTCGACATAACGACCAATCTCCAGCACTCTTCTCGGGAGACGACTGTTTCGGTGAACATGGGGCAAGGTTCCCATCCTGGCCATGTGACCCCACCAGACCTGCTCCGACGTCTCAACGGGGGCGTCCTGGGACAGCCCATGCTCCGCGCCCGCCCGCGCGCCAGAGTAACATTCCACATCGAGACCCGCCTCCTGCGGGAACGGGGCCGCAACAAGACAACTACTCATGATGGTTTTGCAGCCGAAGGGATCACGCCAGGGAGAACTGTCCTGCATTCAACTCGCAGTGTTTCCAGTGCGGTAAAATCGGACATTTTGCCGTAGTTTGTCGAAGCCGCGCGCCGCCGCCAGCCGCAGATACTGAACGCCGGCGACCTGCACTTCCAAGTCGTGGCCGTGGACAGAACTCCGGACGCCCGCGGAGGCCTGGTCCGACCACTGCGTTCAACTATAACGTCACCATCGACGGGGATGCTCCCGTCCTGCCTTTGGAGTCACAGGACCACAGCCTGTACGACGCCTTCATTGCTGACGTGAAGGTAAACGGCTTGCCTCTCCAGTTACTGATCGACACTGGTTCGCAGGTTTCAATTCTGAACGAAAAGATTTTCGAGCAACTTAACAAGACTAGAAAGATCCGCTTACGCCAGCCTACGAGACAGCTTATGCATTATCTGCACCAACCGATTCCTGTGTTGGGGTGTTTCACGGCTCAGGTCGTATTCAAAAACCGACACACGCCTCTAGATTTTTACCTCATTCGTGGAGGACGTTCTCTACTTGGTATTGACGCCGTCAGATAATTGAAACTTCGGCTATCACGAGCTGAATTTGAATGTTTTCATCTGGATGCAGCTGACCCAGGCCAAACGCCACGCTCCGATGTGAGGCCGGCGGGTGACCGTTAGCGGCGCCCGTTCACCGTATCGTCGCAGCGCTCAAGTCAACTACGGGCAAATCTACCGAATGCCCATGGCATCGGTTGACAATCTTCAGTGCCACCAGGTACTAACGCAGCCCACTCTCAGTCAAGATCACCACTGGTCACCAGCGCCGTCCGATCACAGTCCCCAAGTACAGACAGCGTGGACGAGTTTTCCACGAAGGTGAAGCAGCCTGCGGTAAGCTGTACACAAGCTTCGAGCCCTCCTGTACAAGATAGTCAAAACTTCCGCGCGGATTTGAGGAATTTGAGCATCTATTAACGTCAGAACTTGGCCTGCTACGAAACCAGATACACACTGTCAAGGTGCGCCAAAACGTACTGCCAGTACAGTCAAGGCTACGTCGCCTACCCATCAGTCTGCGTGAAGCGGTCTCAGAAGAAATTTCCAAGCTCGAGCGCCAAGGCGTCATCGAAAGAATAAATGCGTCAGAGTGGGTCTCGCCAATCGTTGTAGTAGTAAGAAAAAAGGATGGCAGCATCAGGATGTGCGTCGACTTGCGTGCGCCCAACCAAGCCGTCGTCATAGATTCCTTTCCGCTGCCACACATAGAGGAGCTCCTGCACTCATTGCACGGAGCATCTCATTTTTCGAAGCTGGAGCTGGCGTCGGCTTACCACCAGATCCGACTCGACCCGGTGAGCCGAGACCTGACGGCATTTATCACTCACGAAGGATTATTTCGCTTCAAGCGAGTTTGTTTTGGTTTGGCGTCCGCTCCCGCAGCGTTTCAGCAGATCATGTCTAGGGTTCTAAAAGATTGTAAGGGCGTCCAATTTTACCTAGACGACATCATTGTGTACGGGTCTTCTCAGGAAGAGCATGATTTGAACTTGCGTCAAGTCTTGTCCGCAATCTCTCGAGCGGGAATGAAACTTAATCGAAAGGGCGTTTTTAACGTACGCGAGTTGTCGTTTCTGGGCCACAGTCTTTCAATGGATGGTTTAGCACCCCTTCCATCAAAAGTAGACGGACTCTGGAACTTCAAAACTCCGTCAGACCCGTCGAAGTTGAAGGCATTTTTGGGATTAATTGAGTATTACAATAAGTTCATACCCCACTGTTCGACCATCGTCGAACTTTTGCGTCGTTTGCTCCGCAAAGGCCTACAGTTCGTTTGGTCCCCTGAAGCTCAGGCAAGTTTTGCCAAGATAAAATCATGCATCCAGAATGCACCAATCCTTTCTATGTTTGATCCGACGCTACCAGTCATAATCGACGGATGCATCAAACTATGGCTTACGAGCTGCCTTGCAACAGAAGTACGGGAAACACCTTCGGACGGTTTCTTTCGCATCACGCTCGCTGGCCGACGCTCAGCGTAGATATTCTACGGGAGAAAAGGATGCCCTAGCTTGTTTATGGGCATGCGAAAAATGGCATGTGTACCTCTGGGGTAGGCCATTCACTATTCGAACAGACCACCAAGCGTTAGTCACGCTGTTGTCTAACAAAGGCTCTGGGGTTCGAGTTTTGCGTATAACTCTTTGGGCTTCGCGTCTCTTGAATTATAATTTTCGTATGGAGTACCAGAAAGGTGCCGACAATCTCGTTGACGACGCGTTGTCTAGACTTCCCCTTTCAGACACAGAAAATGGTATGAATTTCGACGAAGACATAGTTTCCTTCGTGATTGCTCCAATATCACGCTCATAATTTCAAGAAGCTACGGCAATCGATCCAGTTCTGCCTGGTGTGATGCATTACACAGCGTCATCTTGGCCGCAAGAAAGCACCAGCATACCTAAACTGCGCCCGTACTTTAACGTCAGTGACCAGCTGTCTGTTCACAACGACTTATTGTTACAAGGGGAGAAAGTAGTAATTCCAGAAAGACTCAGAGAGAATATAATCAATCTTGCGCACGAGACGCATCAAGGAATTACGAGAACCATCTACGTCATCAGAGACCGCTACTGGTGGCCACGCATGGACGCCGAAATCAAGTTTAAAGTACAGCATTGTACCGTTTGCAATGCAACAGACAAGCCGGTTAAAGCAGCGCCTGCTCCTCTTCAGCCGGTTGAGTTCCCAGAGCGACCATGGGACATGCTCGGTTTGGATATCGTGGGTCCCATCGACAGAGCTCCACCAAGTCAAAGATATTTCTTGGTCCTGATTGATTATCACTCGAAGTGGCCTGAAGTTCAACACACATCAGCGGCGACAACAGCTACTGTAATTACTTTTCTACAAAACATCTTTGCTCGGGAAGGTTTGCCCCGAGAGCTCGTCAGGGACAATGGCGTTCGGTTCGTCTCTAGGGAGCTCGAAGAATTTTTGAAACAGCAAGGTATCAGGCACCTCAAGTCCTCCTTGTATCATCCGCAAGCAAATGGGCAAGTTGAAAGATTCAATCGAGTACTAAAGTCATGTTTACAATTTGCAATAGCTCAAGGACGACCACTTCCTGAAGCGGTTCTCGACTACTTAGAAGCATACAGGCGTACTACTCACCCAGCAACGGGTCAGACTCCTGCAGTCCTTCTTCACGGACGACAACATATATCAAGACTGGATCTACAGGGCGTTCCGACGCCCAAGGTGCGAGAGAGAAGCACGTCTCAGCTCCACGAACGAGTCAAGAAGTACCAGACAAAAATGAAGATTTACTCGGACGCAAGACGAGCTGTGAGACGGCCAAAGTTCACAGTCGGCCAAGCCGTCCGAAATTTTCGTCCACAACACAGCGACAAGTTGCGCAGCAAATACAAAGGTCCGCAAGTGATTGAAAAGCAAGTTAGCCCTGCCACGTATCAGTTTAGCGACGTACGAAAGTGGAACGCTAAGAAACTCACTCCTGCGCCTCTCCAAGATCAAGCGAGCGCGCCACACGCAAGCAGAGGAAATACAGAAACCCAACAACTGCTACGAGTAGATTACTTTGACGAACATGATGACGACGATTCACTCACCGATACGCTGAACTTCCCAAAAATCTACGTAGCGACCAGATCGCCCACAGCTCCAACGAGACCGACCACATCAAATGACCCGGTAACAAGAACTCCTGAGTCTACGACGGCTGATGAAAGAACAGCGGTCGCTCTTGTTGCCCAGCCGGAGCCCGTAAAGATTCTTCCAGCCAACGTATCAGTGGAGTATTTTGACCCCGTCGGGACACAAGCAACCCTGCGTCATCACGCCCCGAGACACCACAGTCGATGCCGCCTCTCTAATCTTCACGAAGTGACGTGAGTGATTCCGTGGTTGTGTCGGTGTCTTCAGTGGTTCCAGTTGCACCACTCCGGTCTGCCATGAATCCAGGGTCTGGTGAACCACGCGAACAATCTCAAGCTGGACATCAAGCATCGCCTGCTGTTCCAAGGCGTTCTACGCGGCAACGGAGATTTCCAGGAAGACACTACGTACTTTCGTTTCTTAGTGTAAATAACAGTAATACGTCTACGGACATGATTCACGAAATTGGACAAGAACCGCAGATGTAATATATCTTTCCTCTCGCTTTGTTTAAGTGCATAACGCTTGTTTTAAGACATTATTGCAGTGCATAACCGAAGTCATAGAGTAACTTATAGTAACCTGCATAACGCGAGTCAGTGATTATTTAACGAGAAAGGGTACTAACGTGCCTCCTAAAGGCGTTTAGAGCCAAGCGCTCACTAGTTTTTGCTTAGTCTAGTTATTGGTTACAAAACATAGGATGTCTAACAACTGTTAGTATTACAGCAATTTTAACTGTTCAAAATTACATCTTAAGTTTTTTTAGGAATAGTTTTTACTAGTTTATTTTCGGTAATGGTAGGCTCATTAATTTAAAGAATGGGAAAAGTATCAAATATCAATGCTCTGGTTATTAAGAGACATGTTTATCGCTATTTCATATAAGAGAAGGAGAATGTAGTGATGTGTAAAAGAGAAAGTTGCGTCACATAAGATCACGTGAGTTTACTGATTGGGTATCAGTTCCCATTGTTATAAAATCAATAAAACGCGAGCGATCCGGCGGATCGCTCGAGGACACGCTCAGACCACAACCAGAACGAACGTGTCTGTTGGTTTCGTCCTGCGGGACCTGATGTTGTCGGAGGAATCGCCGCTCTGAAAGGACCGGCCATTTCCCGGAACCCACACCGCAGCCCGGTGAGTCGGACCGCACGCATCTAGCGATATCCCGGCGAACCTGCCTTTAGGTCAACGGCACCTCATCACCCACGCAGACCAGATGGCCAGCGCGCGGTCTTATAATACTACAGTGTCCTGCCGGAGAGGAATGATTTCACGTATGAAAGTAAACGTCCACTGGCTCCGAGCTGTTTGAGACGTGCAACGATGACGTCATGAGTAAGGGAGTCAAACGCGTGACGTATGTCTAAAAATACGCCGTGTGCGATGTGGCCTTTTGTTTTTGCCTCATTATGGCCCATCCACACGACAGAATGATCCGCGGACGGATTGACCATGTGACGACATGTCCGCTGTTCGTCCGTATCCCAAGCGTATCTACACAAGCGAGACGACGAGCAGACGCTAGCGAGGGCGGACCGAACATGCTCGGCACCCCACGGTGCCGCGAAAAGAAACTCCAATATCGCACCGTCGTCCAAGAGAGATACTAGCTCAGGCGTGACAGTGACACAGGCATGATCCTGCTCCAGAAGGCTTCGTCTTAAAAGCGACGAAGTTCTGGTTCGCGGAGGGGCGTTTGGAGATTCCCTCACGCACTCCGCGCTCGTGAACATCACTCAAGCACACCGCAGACACAAGAAAGGTCTTGCTCGGTGAAAGGCTGATTGGACGTGCAAGAATTATCGCGGCGTGCTAGCGGAGTTTTGTCGGAAGCTTCTTGACGCGCAACCGGAGGAGTACCGGAACCTGCGTGGCGTCAGCCGGGCAAGTGCACCTGCAGTTTCTTTCACGCATGAAACCAAGAATCGATCGACAAAATGAATCAGCGAACGCACTGAACAGAACAAACACAACGATGCGCCATTTTTGTTTTAACCGTTCGAAAACAAAAAACAAGAAAACTGTACCGTCGCCCGACTAAACGCTTTTCAAGTTAATCGCCGGCCAAAAGTCAGCGAGTGAAAAGGCGCTTGGCTTTATCAGTCCGCGCGTCCGCTGGCGAGGCGCGAATTGCAGCAGGAATCGGTAACGTGATGCTCACGTGATACACGGTCCGCGGACAGAAACCGCGATTCGGTCCGTCATGTGAATCGGCTATTAAGCGCACATGGTAGGTCCCCACTTGCGTCGGTCGTAGATCTTCTAGCCCGAAATCCGGCCAACGGGTTTGGGAACGCTTGTGAACGTTCAAGATGCTAAGGGACACTCCTCAGGACCAGTCTTTCAAGCAGCTTTCCCAGGCAGCTTTTTAACGTACCGGTCTATACGACGATGCTCCACAGCTCAGTTTGCCACTCTTGAGGAGAGGAATCACTAGCTTCCCTCCACGTGGCAGGCAAAGTGCTTCCTCCACTTTTCATTAAGCATCTCCAGGAGGTTTGCCAGTTGCGTCTGTTCAATACCTGGTGGTGCTTGATAAGTTATGATGATAATGCAATTAATGCAAACGTGAAAGCGAGCTGGACAAGAATAACGATAATAATCCCGAGGACGGCGCACACTAGCGTTTGCAGCGTTGAAGTTTATAAATAGTGAAGTCATCGTCTACGTTGTATGCAGTCTGCTGATGAAGCGCTGTTTGTTGAATCAAAGAGCCAGGTGGGGGTGGAATTGGTCGCGCAATCTCATCTGCAAATAATTCAGCTGTCTCTGCCGTGGTCTTATTCATTTTTGCAGTTCAAGCTACAATCAGGTGGCGAGGAACCTTGACCCCAGACAGAGCATCAACTACATACTTGGGTAAATTACTTCGGAAATGTAGTGTAACTACAATTACAACTACTACGCTTAAAAAGTAGTTAATTACAATTAGAATCACCATTGCCTGACAAGTAATCTGTTACAATTACTAATTACTTTTAGAAAGTAATTCAATTACTTCACAATTACTTTCCTTTGAGAGCTACCCGACTTAATGACATTGATATAACACCATTTTTTGTCACACTAAAATACAACCTTCAATTCTTTGCCTCGCTTTTCAGGAACCAGTGTGCGGCGTTTCACACTCGTTGCATTATCGGCCTCTACTTCACCGTTTTTAATTGTAGGATAGGGAGCGGAGTTCTGAGTAAGACATGACTCACACCAGTCCGTTGCTTTTCAATTTGCAAATTCATAATTTCGATATTAGAAGACACCGTGGTGGCGCTTTTCATATGGGGCAGAGTCTGGACTCCTGTGCATGTGCTTTGATAGTTGCTGAGCCGTGTCTACACAGTCAACACTCAGACGGAGTCTTATTGCTCCCAGAAAGCCACAAGCGGGCGGAAGAGCAATGAGGCAGACGCCCAGCGCGTTTTGTTCTGTCAGTGACTCCATAGAATTGAGGTGCAGGGTGACACAATCATAAAAAAGTAGTTGTAATTGTAATTCAAGATCTCGCAATTATTGATGCAAAAATAATTAAACTACAATTGCAACTACTGTCACTGTTACAATTATAAATGACTCCCAAAAGTAATTAAATTACAGCAATTTATTACTGTAATTGAATCACGATCCAAGTTCGATCAACTATCGTCCAAGCACGTGCTGCTCACCTCGGGTCCCCAAAGGGGGCACGTTTCTCGGACGACTGGTGTCTCTGCAGTTTCTTTGTGTGACTCCGAAAACGTGGCATCGATATTCCTGTAACGTGTCCACTCGTAGTCTCAGTCCGTGTGAAACGGGCGTCGTTGGGCGCGTCGGTGTGCGGAGTGTAGCTTCGGATATTCTAAATCCGGGACGGTGCTGGTAATAGGAACTTTGACTTGGCGAGTGGTTTGTTGGAGGAAATCTGCAATGATGTCTGACAGATCCCTAGCGTCCTTGTCAATAAATGACTTCGCCATATTTTCGCGGTAGAGGTCCCAGTTAGCTACCGTGCATGTTTTGGTAGAAACCAGGGAGGCCTTCTGCGAAGCAATGACGATAGGTGCATGGTCGATCCCCCATGCAGAGGTGTGCACGGCTACGGACCAGCCTGCGGGTCATGGGACCGCGCGGCCCGCGGGTCGGGCTCGGGCTTCACGGCTACATTCATGAAGGGCTCAGGCCGGGCAAGGGCCTTGCATACAAGCCTACAAGACGGGCTGATGCGGGCCAAGCCGGCAGTTACTTTACTTACTTTTTACATTTTTTTTAGGAGCCACGTTTTTGGAAGTTTGCTCGGGTGGTTGGGGGAGGGACCATATAATGGAGTTTACCCAAATGCTGAAAGCATGTGTAAGTGTGTGCTTGTATTTGTTTTGTCCGGTTCGGTATGTGTGCAGCGAATGCTTTTGTATACAGAGCACTAGCGGCGCGGGGTTCATTTTCGTCACCGGCGACGCCGCCCGTCGTACAGTCGCGTCTCCCCACCAACACGCACACATAGCGCCTACACAATGGGCACCCTCGCCGGCGTAAACCATCTGTGCGTTTAAGTGCGTGCAAGCACAATATCGGTGGAAAGGTTCCCCTCAGGTACGTTTTTCCTAAACAATTTCTCGCAGATCACCGCAAGAGCGGTGACATTTTTTTCTTTCTTTTTTCCGCCTTGTTGGCAGCCGTAAGTGGGCAATTTAGAACTTCGTCCGTTTTTTGTCCGAACCGGTCGCGATGTTTCCCTTTCTTTTCAACTTTGACTCATAGGTTTGTTTACTGCTGCTTTCCATTTTTATTTTTCAGTCCTTTCCGATACGCGGGTTTGGTCGCAAAAAAAGACGATGGGGTTAAAGTTTCTTAACGAGTTGTCTATTCCCGCAGATCGGAACGCGGGTCGGGCTGGACTGGGCCGGGCTTCTAAATGTCTGCCCGTGCAGACCTCTATGTCCCCATGTGTCTGGCACATGTAATTGGGTATTTTTATCCAAACCGAATAAAAATAAAGAGTTTGGCTCTATTGTCCACACCACATTGACCTTTGGGGATGCAAATGTAAGATCCAGGACACTATTTCACTTCTTTGTGCAAAAACGTGGGTACTCCGGTGTTTAACAGGACGAGATCCAACGTTGGTACTGTGTCGTGTCTTCAGGGAGTTTTTCACTCCTGTTTGTGCGTCTATCACCCCAGTTATTGTTGTGCGCATTGAAATCTCCCGCTAGTAGAAGTTCTCCTTTGGCCCGTTGTTGTATATCAAATAACACATTGGAGTCTTATGTCCCTGAGGGACGACATGCGCGGACACAATTGTAGTGTTTTGCATGTCTAATATTACTGTGACTGCAACGTACTCTTCAGTTTCTGAGCACAGATCAAAGAGGTCTAAGGCGCTCTGTTGAAGGGATGGTCTCGCCAAGAGAGAAACACGTGAAAGGTCTTTCTACACGATTACTGTACTATTGTAAAACACACATGGAGATAGCCTCAGCTCTCCTGGAAGGATGTTTGTCTTCTGAAATGCTCATCGATTGCTCTCTTCTGCAAAATTGGTTAAAGATCATGAATGCGCCCGTGGCGTTCATTTACGTTCCTTTCGAGAACGGAGGGAAATTTCGGTTTGGGGGGTGGGATCGTTGACACTGCTTGTTAATTTTTCCAGTTTTTAATATGACCCCATAAGCGGGAGAATCATATTGAGCAGTCCCAGGACTCTTTGTGCCCATTGTGCGTCAATGGAAGATAAAAGGGTGCAGACCAGGCGAGTTGCACACTGAGCGAAAGAAATCCAGCTCTCACTTGTCGTTTTTGTTGGTGCAGAAGAAGAGTTTGTAAAAGCCTGCCACTTAGAGTCAGTTGGAGTATTTGTTGATGGCGGTGTGTTGGCCTCTTGCTGTAGTTCTTCGATGCTAGACTTTTGGGTCCTCAGTTGAAGTCCTGTTGCCGTGCTTTTACCATGACCTTTGAGTACAGAAGCGTAGTTTGGAGGCTTCGGACCTGCTTCTGTGCCGTATTTCCCAATATTGGTTTATGCGCCCTGGGGTAGCTGACTACTCCCCCTCTTTTGTTTTGTCCGCCTAGCCTTCAGAATAACAGTTTTCGCGGCAAGGAAACCAAGTTAGTGTTGGCGAGCATAGTCGCTGGTCTCCCTTTCTTTCTCAGATTTGGGGCAGGACTAAGACGTAGCACGATGAGCTTCTCCGCGGTTCTCGCACTTCTCTTGTGCAGTAGAGTTGACCTTATGCTCGTGGACGACATCACATCGACTGCAGATGGAAAGGCGTTTGCAGGTTCCTTCCTGGTGCCCATACCCGCAACATTTCCGGCACTGTATTGGTCGTTCTGTGAAAAGCGCCACCGCGTGCCGTACGTGGCCGAGGTATACGTAACTTGTCAACAATGTTGCGGAGAACGACAATTTCACTGTGTTGCTTTTGCCAAGTCGTCGTACCCTGGCCACTCGATCGTCTGGGGATCCAAGATTCTCTCCAATGTCGGCATCCGAGCAATGGACTTGAAGGCTCTGACCTTCACGCCACAGAGTTCAGTGCAGGCAAGAAGCTTCGTAGTTTTGTGTCCAATACGCGTATATATACTGCGATGAGATTGAGTCTACAGTTGGGCCTGATCTCGAGAATTCACCCTGGGCACATCTTCTCAACCACTAGTGACAGCTTCAATGTGTTGGGTGTTGTCATCTGCGGGGGGGGGGGGGGGGGGGGGGGATTTTCTACAGCAGTGGTGAAAATGACAGTCAGACCCTTAGAGGATACAGGCAAAGTGACCAGTGTTCCTGCGCTTCTGCTCGAGCTTTTTGCGTTTCGTATTTCACTTGGCGTCAACCCAGCCAGCGCAGTCGGCTTTTTTTTTTTTCAAAATCCTTGCTCCTTCGGGGCTTTGATAAAGATAGGTATTTGTTTAGCGAAACAAGTGCGCCCAGATTTCAAAGTGTGTACAGAAGCTCAATCGAAATCACGTGGTTTATGGGCCGCGTTTAGAATACTACGTGCGAAGAGCGTGTGACGAAAGTGTTTATCGTCTGCAAGCGTCTCCGCCTCTCCGTTCGTGTTCGTCCTCGCCACGCGACATGAGCGCTGCTACCAATCTGCGGAGGAAGATGTCCAGCATTAAATTGCAAACGCTCCTCATGGCTTTAGTTGCTCCCTCTCTTAAGTCTGGGCTCTCTAAGCGAGACGTTGGTTCCAAGAGACTTTATGGCGCATTCACATTGGAAGCTGATCGACGTTCGCGAAGCGGTTGCGGATGCGTTTCGCGAGCGACCCTATTGAGACTATAGGTGCCTGCATCTTTCCGCCGCTCCGCTGTTTAGGGTGGCGACAACGTTTGTGGTACCTGTTGCCGACAAACCAGTGTTGCCTACCTCATTACCATGGCAACCTTTGCTGTATTCGTCGACCATTTTGTCACACTCGCCGGTCGTGCGCTCGGACCACGCCGCTAATCCTCGTTAGGGCTAGGGAGGGCTCACCGCTCTCATTCCGACGGCGAGGTTTCAATGTTCAATGCCGGTCTGTGGCGTTCCATTTTGTCGCGGGAAGTCGCGTTTCGATAGAAGCAACGCACACTTCCTGCTCGCAACTTCAAAATATGAAACACCCGTATAAAGAGAGCGACAGTCACGAATACCGCCATCCCGCTGAGCCTCCGATTCCTCTTATGAACGGCAACGGAAGTGGCCTCACAGTGTTGCCGGTGCGTCGATACTACAGAAACTAAGCGTTGTGTACGTTTAGCGAACTAAGAAGTGGGAAGAAATGGCGGTGGGAGAGGATCTGGGTAAGGGTAACAAGAAGTTGGCGCCACCCTAAAGCGGAGCGGAAACATGTAGGCACCCTAGTTCAGACACACCGAGAGGCGGTCGGCGGTTTCTCGGC